CTATAATTCGCTTGTATAATTCGATCGAACAGCGCCATGGTCGATGAAGAACGTCAGTTTTTCATGATTCCTGATTTGATGTTTTAGGCTAATTTTTATTCTTTTCTTTGTATGTGTTGTTTTGTTTACTGTTGCATTAACCTCTAGTTCGGTTTTGTGTCTACTGTTGACACTTGTTGATTCTCTTTTGAGAATAATAGTGGGAAATGTGGTTGTTGAGTATTGCTCAAATCCCTTCCACACTACGTGTGAGTTTGTCAGGTGATGTCAATCTCCTTTCCACACAATCCGGTGATGATCTCGAGCGAAGAAGTCGTTGAGATGATATTTTTTGTTCTTCTAACGTGATTTGTTAATATGTGGTATTGTACAGCGAAACTTACTTCATTTGCTCTGTTTTTCTATCATTTTATCTGTATTTTTTATAGATGGTAATGAGCTTCGTACGTGTTCTTGTGATACTCAGACGCCATTGACTTTGTTAGTTGCTTCATTATCTCTTTGATATGTATTTGTTAGAGCTGATTTGATAGGAATACAGTCGGCCGAAGCAGAGTTCATTCTCAAGTAGACTGGTAAGATACGATCGCTGTATGCAAACATTATGGTTGTTCATGGATCGTCTTCATCAGGGCGGAGCATAGACATTCCTCATTCCTCTTATTTGTTTCAGATAAATATCACATAATGGATATTAGTCTTACTCATCCAGAAATAATGACCATTGAGGAGCTACAAGATCATTTGAAAACAGTAAGAAGTGATCAAAATTCTTGTCCGCAGTGTGTCATTATTTGATTTGAACATCATTTCACGTTTTTTTGCTTTAGCGTGGTATTATTGTTAGTGAAATGAATGACAAATATTTTCTTGTACAGTTGTTTTACAAACATATATCCCCATTACCACAACGAAAATTTCGTACGAATCGAAGCGGAATAATTCTTACAATGAGTCAGTTGTGTATGAATCATCAAATAGAGTCGGAGAGCTCAACTAGGTATTTGTAGAGAAACAATTATATGAAAAATGGGAAATTTGAGCTATTTACTTCTTTTGTAGTATGGCGGTCGAAGAAGTCATAGCAAGTGACAATAAACATAAGGCATTAAAACGGAAACATGATCAGACTTCGTAAACGTCCTACTGTCCTTCTTTCTCAGTTTTCTTTAGTTTTTGTAAATTTACAGGCAAAAAGCTCGTTATATTGGTTTTTTCTTTGAAAGTTTATATTTTATCAACATAATATATATGAGTACGAAACTCGACTTGCTACAATTTTAATTTAATTTAATTTTACAACCGCTTTTTAGCCACTAGATACTCAAACAGGACTCATTTCTGGAAGAATCAAAGGAAGATACCACCATCGGTTTCGAACTTTCTCAAGGATCTCACTCTCACACGGTGGGGATGGAGTTGTGTTGCTTGTCGTGCCTTATCTCTGTCTTCCTTGAAGGAAACAATCTGATGAGAAAGGTCAAAATGGATGATGGTATCTTCTTTTGATTCTTCGAGAAATGAGTTTTGTTGGAGTATCTAGTTGCTAAAAAGCGGTTGTAAAATTAGATTAAATCAGAATAATGTTTTATGGAATGTTAAATTTATTCAGGGGTAATAATTTTAATACAAGTATGAGACTAACATCTGCTATTATGAATTTATTTCAATTTTAATTAAGTACAAACGCAATTTGTCGCTACTTTTTCTTGAAATAAGGACACAATACCAAACTTTTACAACAGCATTATTTACGACATTAACTGTGAGAACTCTAACATGATTTATGCAGATAAAACCAGTTGACAGTCAGCTAGACATCTAATTGAGCACGATGCTTCTGAAAACATTTGTTAATATTCGGATGTCTGTTGGACAGTTAGTAATCTTCTCGCCGTTCTCATCAATGCAAAATCATGCTTAAAGTCAGCTCTCGCCTAACATATTATTGTACTAATCACACTATGAATTAGGAACGTTTTAAGCTTTATTAACAAACTCAAATTTATACTGCCTGATCCACTTTTTATATATTCTAATTAAAGTTTAAAAAAGTCTTTACCGGACCATAGGAGATATAAGAACGAACTTTTTATCTTAAGAGGCACCCCCTCAGGAAAAAACTTTTTTATCTGACATCCGATTTCGATGGCGCTTATAGTGATTGATGCTTACTGTCCAACTAGCTAACTTATGCTAAAAATCTGAGTTCGAAACGTTGACGTGTTATTGCGTGACAAGGGGCAAAATGGGGCTCTTAGCAAAAACGTTAAGACTTTGTTATTGGAAGGAGCAGAAAGCTGTGGGGATGGTTTCAAATGAAAATAGACACCTAAATCTAAAGTTTGTTCGTAGCGATTTTTGGATTTCGCTTTCGTTCATTCCCCACATATATTTTAAGGCAGAACTCTGAAAATAACCCTAATTTGGCAGAATATTTGCCACTTATCTCTGCACAGTAAACGAAATTCAAAAATCGCTACAGACATAATTTAGATAAATGTCTTCGCGTCAAAATAATAAAAAAATGAAGGTTTTATAATGAATCGTACGAAAAGAGATACAATTCTGCTCCTCTAAAGCTATGTTTTGAGAAAAACGTTAAACAAGCTTTAAGAGCATAGTGACAGTACATAGGAGTGTGATGTATATTTATGAAGCACAAAGATTTTTTCTTTTCAGATATAAAGGGTTGAATTATGTTTAACTTATAATAAAACATATGTATTGTAACGCCGGAGAGGTGATATGTGATTTATCATGATTACGACATAGCCCACTAAGTAACATCTTCACTACTGAAAATGAGGCTATTTTATCCACTGAAAATAAGGAAAAATTGCTAAAAATTGGCTGAAAACCGACGTGGCTAGCAGGAAAACTCTCAAAACCTCATAAAAAATTAGTTCTGTAGTGGAAAGCAAAACATATTCTGGAAAAGACTTTAGCATATCTAGCGGAGCAAGAAACTCAATTTCAATTTTTCTATGAAAATCATCGGTTTCTAAGAAGGGAGGGAGAGAGCCTTAACAAATATCAGTTGTGAATGTTCTCTTCTTTTGTATATTGCTTTCAGTCTATTTCTTTGGTTCTTCTCATATACCTGTGTCTCATTTTATCTTTTCATACTCTTGATATTCATACTACCATCCATTTCAAAATATAACAACCATGGCTGTGTTTTGAATAACTTTTGGTAGAAAGCAGCTAGAGAGCTCCGGTTTTCGCCATGCGAAAGAAGAGCGTTAGGGACATGTTTTTGCAAGTAAAATGATTTTTAGAAGACTTTTTCCAATACGATTGTATTGTTTTTTTATAGGTTGTTAGCCCTGGATCTACTGAGTCTCGTGGCAATATTTGTTTTTAGGAAAAGCTTTAAAAGTCTAGCGAAAAGCGAATTTTATGAACATTTGGGTTTTAAGGCTATTTTCACCTAATCTTAAAATTCACTATTCATTCAAAAAACACCACTACATTAGACTTTTGTAAGATCTTCTATAAACAGGATACAGAAAAAACTCTACACTCTAAAGTTTTTAACTTGTTGTGATGTTTTTTTGAGTGAATAGTGAATTTTTTATATTAGGTGAAAACAGCCTGAAAACTCAAATTTTCATAAAATTCGCTTTTCGCTAGGTTTTTAAAGCTTTTCCTAAAAATAAATATTGCCACGAGACTCAGCATAGTCGATTACCTATAATCCATCTGTTTTCAAGGCTGCCCATAGTCGGCGGGTGCCAAGCCTGGGCTTGTAGGAAATCCGATAGAATGCCCGAACCGCGCAAAGTCAAAGTCATTTTATGCAACGATAGCAAAAAAAGACTTTTTTAAAATCAGAGAGGTGTTGACTACTCCCAATAACTACGCCCCTGATACGAGCGGTAACCGTAGCATGCCTATTGTTGATAGTGCTTATTATCTTAGCCTAGTTTCTATAACAACATTAGTCCGTCCGTTACAGTATGAAAATGTGCTTCCTTCTCAAATTTACAAAACAACATTACTTTTATCTGTAGTCTCAAATTCATCTGTTTAATTATAAAAAATATCTTGAACAACAAAAGAAAATTTTAAACAATCTTGGTCAAAATAAAAGTAATAAGAACAATAAGAATAAAGATATCCTGGAAAAAGAGGCTGATTTACAAAAAGCTTCTTCCACAACAATTTGATAATGCACAGAAATATTTGAATGAAAGCAATAAAGGATTAAAATAGGCTATCGGAAATCGTGATTTAAATAAATTGATATTTCACAAATGCTTATTGGAAACAGCAGTACAAAACTAACATCGATACGTGAAAAAATGAGCAAAAATAACGACGAATTAAATAAATTAAGAAAAAACTCAAAAAATGAGTAACAAATTAGAAAGAGCGAAACTAATCATCGTGAAAATGGGTGATTGCATTTTATAGAAAAATATGGTTGATTTTCTATATGTTCTGTTTCTTTAGGCTTTTTGAATGCGTATCTTAAGTATGCTAGAGGGATAGTTAGTATTCTGTTACTTACCATTTATTGTTGATTTTCATAGTTGCACTTCAACATTAAAAACTTTCATTCTACTTTTTAATATAAATCCTACCCTTCTGCACTTCAAAATCCTAGTCCTGCTCCTACCTTTTGATTTTTTCTATTACGAATTTTTCATGATGAAGAATCGATCATAAAAACACATCATTTAAAACTATTACGTTGTCTACAAATGATACGGATATTGTGTCAAAAATGAGTAATTATGATAACGATAAAACTCTTCCGACTGTCAGTAATAAACATGAAGAAGATCGTGGAATATATACAATTAAAATTCCGCAGAAATAAACAACAATTGGGATAAAATTAAACAGATATTTGGGAAAACAGAATGAAAGCATGAGTGTACGTACTCTATAAACGTTGCATTTTGCTAAGATCGTTCGGTAGACTAGTATAAGAAAGTTATTTTATCATTGACAACATGTATGATCAATTTCTTATACATATTACAATAATTCATAGTATTTGTAAATAATAGAAAGATATAGTTTTATTTTTTGACGTCAAAATTCTTTTTGTTTGATTTTTTAGAACGTTGCTAGAAATAACACATCGTCTTCCAATGATCAAACGGTGCAAAAGTCCAGTGAAAAGTATTATCAAGCTTAAACGAATGAAAATCGATGAAAATAATTAGTTGATAACGTCGAAGATTTTTCCCGTTAATATAGAACGAAGACAGTCATGATGTTTGATATACTTCGAATTAAGAGAAGTAGATTGGCTATGACAAGTCTACTATGTATTACGTAGTAATATTTTGTATATAATTTGTCTTTATAGAAGCTCTTATTATATTTTTAATATTATTGACATACTACTATGATATAGAACATTATTATTGTGAATAAACATTTCGTTTATCCTCTGCTTCATTTTTTTTTTGCCGTTGAATTGTTGTTTGACAGTTGAGGAATAATGAACTTTGAAAATAATTTTTAAAATTTGTTTTTCTTCTCATAGTAATAAGATTGATATATATATTTGATTGGAAACCTTGAGCTCTGATATGCTCTTTATTTTCTTCTAGATTTATCATGGTTATTCTAACTTTGAATTATTTGTATGAACTATTGCTGTTTATTATCGCTTGTTTTATTCTATCTCTAATTTATTTTTTTGTAAGTACAGTTATTTTTAAAGATGAATTTATTTTATTTGAATAAATAATATTGTTTTTATTATGTAGGTATTCATTGGCTCATATTCATTAAAAATTGTTCACTGGTTTTACACAAACATAGAGGATGTAGATAATGAAAATTTAAGAATAAATAATTCTGGAAATTATTTAATAAATATTATTCATCGGCTTGAATCATGCATACAAATCTATAGAGTCGAACGTTTAGGACAATCGTCGTCCATTTATTATGAATTAACAGATGGAGAAAAAACATTAATAGTAATGATCAATAGGCACCTTTTGTGACAGTTATCATAAATTATAAAATTATTTTTTTTTCTAGTCAACAAATGATAATGAATATCGAGAAAAATTGTATATGAATAGATTTAAAGTAATACATTCTATGATAGAACCAATGAAAATATTAGATTATTTAGCTTCAAAATCAATTATTCAACTAGCAACAATATCAAGAATTGAACATGTATGTATTATTTATTTTCTTAAATTGGCTTAAATATCGATAATATTTCAATATTTTTGTTCTAGAAATATCCTGTGCCAGAAGATCGAAATCGTGCTCTCTTAGACTTGATATTAACATATCCTGCAAAAGCCTATTATCCATTTATCGAAGCATTGTATTTATCCGGTAAGATAATTAAAATAGAGCAGAAATTATATTATATATTTCTAAATTTTATTTTAGGAAATAATTCGTTAATTGATCTGTTAGAACCGAATTTTAGTTCAAGTAATGAGAAAAAACAATTAGATGATGAATATGGATTAATACATCGATCAGTTAATAGAATACAACAAAATTTAACATCAACATTGACAACTACATTGACAACTACAAATGTAAATTACGAAGACAAGAATGATGTTCAACATTTACATACATCTTCAAGCGAAATATTGGAAGAAATTCCATTATCTTCCCGTTATAGACAAAATACGTTATCTGGTTCGTAATCTACACTTGTTTTAGAGATGTTGATAGTTGCATTTCTCTTCTGTTTATTTTAGATGTGGATGATAAAGAATTTGATCTAGAGTTACCAATGGGTTTTTCAGTACGTTTATTACTACCTAATGTCATTGAACAATATCCAGATCTGGATCCATCGAACCGAAAAAGTCGAGTAATACTAGTCAATATTGTTCTTCTTTCGATTTATGTAATTAATTTGTTCTTCTCTCCTTCATAGTGTTATCCTATGTCAAATATTTTACGTGGTCAATGTTTACTGATCAACAACGTAGAAGATTTTAAAACAATGGAAAAACGACATGGTTCAGATATTGATGCCAGTAAACTTAGAAGTCTTTTCGAACAAATGGGATTCAATGTAATTGTACGACGTAATATGAAATGTCTGGTAAGTTTAGGTTCAAAATTAACAGAGAATGAGTCTTTTCTACTACTTGAATTCCATTCTAGTTAAAACATATTATTATGAGCTAATTACTTAATAAAATCTCACAGGTAATGTAAATGCTGTTGCTTACTCGCTGCTTCTTGTAATACCTCCACTATTATTCGAAGACTTCTATAATTATTTGCCATCGGGAATTACATTGCTGTTTTTAATATGGAGTATTGTTTTGATTATTTAAGGAAATGGAATCTTTCTTAAGTGAATCTGCCAAATCTCTTGATCAGGATCCAGGCAATTGTTCTATTGTCATTATTTTGAGTTATGGTTGTGATGGTCGTATTTACGGTGTAGATGAACGTTATTTGGATATCGATCGACAAATTATTAGCGTATTTGATGATCATTTTATTGGAAAACCAAAAATATTTATTCTTCAAGCATCTCGTAGTGGTAAGTCAAACAGAAGATTTTTATTTTAAATTTTTAAGCATTAACCATCTCATAGGTCAGCGTAATTATCGTTCTGATGGTGTACTTGATCAGTTAACATCATCCAAAATGTTAAATGATTACGGACATATCACAAAAGTTGCAAAACGAAGCGATATGGTTATCTGGCATTCAACATTAAAAGGTAGGCTTATTGACATGTCTATTTCTCTTTATACAATTCACTTCTTTTTCTACTTGTAGATTGTGTGTCCTGGCGTCAGACAGATGAAGGAAGTATTTTTATTCAAACGTTGATAACGGTGTTTGCTAAAGCATCCTGGCGTTATGATCTTGTTACAATGGCCGAATGTGTATGTTTAAACAATATCGTATTTTCATTTCATTATCATTATCAAATATTGTGTGTGTTTTAGGTCAATCGAGTTTTGAGTGACAAGTTATTATCTCATTCCTCAAATACTTTTCAAACACCGTGTTTTGAGCATCATCTTCATTACGTAAGATTACTATAAAAAATCTGTTCTATCCATTGAGTTGTCTTTATCATTATTTCTCTTTTAGCCATTGTACTTTAATCCAGGATATTTTGAGAAAAATGAATAATCTTAAACAAAATCTTTTTTATTTTAAACAATTTTTGTTAGATTCTGTTCTTCTTATTTTCCCATCATACAGATGTCTAGCCTTTCACAATTATTTTATATTATAATTTCAAAACAAAGCTTTTATTTTTATTTCATGTATTTTTGACAATAAAATGATTTAAGATAATAAATATTGGTACTGTACAATAATCCTGGTACTGTAAAAATATCATATTCAGAATCAGCGTCGAAAACTGAGTCGAAGAATGTACTTTTTTTTGATTCTTTTAAACAACTCACATTGGGCAAACAGGCGGGCATAAAACGAAAGTGTTATTTTTCAAACTTTAAACATTGGAATAATTACTTCTATCTTTGATCTATCTTGTCCTGAAATAGCGTTTTCAGAAATTAAGTTAAACGTTGGAAAAACACATACTAATGAAGAAATTTGTTCAAAAATCGCTATCCTCGGATAAAGTTAATTTTTTGACCAATTACAAAGAACATATGAATAGCGTCAGCTTTTCAAGTATTCATTAGTTGCATGATCATTGAGTCACTGCTTTCCAACTTCTTCGCCATGACATCAGCAACATTTCTACTCAACTCAAATGGAAATTACTTTTTTCGTTAAAGGCTTCTTCAATAATTTCTGATTCGATATCAGAATACTTTGTCCATTCCTCTGTTTCGTTCACGGAACATGGGTCGAAAATGGATTTCGAATACCATTGAGCTTGTAGCTGATCGACTTGTTTCTGCGCTTGACTTGTCATTGATTAGAGTATTTCCAGCTGAGTGTTATTAACTTAATATCCAGTTCAAAAAACGGTGCCTGTCGGTATTTTTTGAAAAAAAGAGACAGAAACTTGTAGTTTTCAGCACTTTGTAGAGAAGGCTTTTGTCCAAAGGTGGTACAAGGTCAAAAAGTTTCCGAAAAAACAGACTTTCAATTTCTTCGAAAGCTTTCTGCCCTATACCAAAAAATACGTCATTATGCTCAGAATTTGATGCTGGGTCTAACCTTATAGTTTTTTCTTCAAAAATTTGGGTAATGCAACATGGCCTTATCGTACCTCGTACTTTAAGGATAATCATTTAACTTTTTCCTCTTAATGAACTCATTGTAAAAAGTTCAATCAATCTAACTTCCGAAAAACATTTTTCATACCTTTATCAGTATTACTTGATACTACGAGATCTTATAAAAATTTTCTATTCTTTTTTACATGTTCTTTGTATTTTTGTTTCGTTTAATTTAATCTATCACTAAAGAAAAAGTTATTAGTATATACCCCTTTCAGTACTCCGTTGTCCTGTGTGCATGCATTCAGGTCAACATTTAACAAAAATAACAAGTGAGATATTTTTTATGTTCACTTATGTGATACCATACTTCACTATTGAGACTATATATCGCGCTCGGATAGAAGCGACTCAATGATCATGCAGCTAATGAATACTTGAAAAGATCATTATAAGAAGCTGTTTCCAAGTAGACGGTGTTTTTGTTGGTTCGATTGTCGATTGTAACATCGAGAATTTGAAATGGTGCTCCGGGAGGAAGTAGGACTTCTTCTTCGTGTGGAAAGGCTGAGGCTGTTNCACTTATGTGATACCATACTTCACTATTGAGACTATATATCGCGCTCGGATAGAAGCGACTCAATGATCATGCAGCTAATGAATACTTGAAAAGATCATTATAAGAAGCTGTTTCCAAGTAGACGGTGTTTTTGTTGGTTCGATTGTCGATTGTAACATCGAGAATTTGAAATGGTGCTCCGGGAGGAAGTAGGACTTCTTCTTCGTGTGGAAAGGCTGAGGCTGTTGATATTTCTATTCCTTTGACGCCTCTTGGTTGAATAATGAATAAAGTGTCGCCAAAAGCTTCAGCTTGTTGACGGCTTTTACTTGTTGAAGTAAATATGCATTCCAGCACCTAATTTGTCCGATCGATTCCTGTTAAGATTTGACCATTTTCGGGTCGATGTTTGTGGATCGGTAGATTGTGCCGTTGTAGCAGTTAAGGTTTTGTATCCAAGATAGGTATAAGATGTAGCAAAATGGGCCGAGCGTGTCTAATTTGGTCGTATCATTTGCTCTCATTGTTTTGTTTAGTAGTTTGTAGAGAAAACATTCTTTTGTGTATAGCATAATACAACACTTGCAAATTTTTTTTGGCCGCTTATTTTGCACGGTTTTCAATTGTCGGGCAATCCACTGTGATTCGCAACTTTGACCTATTTGAGTCCCTTCGATAATTATTCCGTTCGCTGCCTGGTTCAGTATTTCAGCTGTAGAGAGCTGTTTAATTTCCACTGTTTAATAAAACTTAAGGCCGTTTTGCCCGAATCGTTTTTCAACGGCTCATTCAGTGGTTGAGGAAGAAAAAATATTTGTTCGCTTAAGGCTTTGTTTCTATTTATATTAATCAAAACTCGCTTTGTTTGCCTCTATTTATTTTTGTCGTCTTTACTGACTTGAATGGAATCGTTTAGATTGATCCAATAATTATCCAACTCAGCTAGTTTTGTTTTACTTTTTTCGTTAAAGGTTTCTTCAATAATTTCTGATTCGATATCAGAATACTTTGTCCATTCCTCTGTTTCGTTCACGGAACATGGGTCGAAAATGGATTTCGAATACCATTGAGCTTGTAGCTGATCGACTTGTTTCTGCGCTTGATTTGTCATTGATTAGAGTATTTCCAGCTGAGTGTTATCACATATGTTTATAGAACTAAAGAAGACATTCGAAATCCATGCAGATGAAAAAAGTTGTTCGAGGGGTGCGGCGAGTACTCGAATCAGGCCCTCACCGAGGGCTCGAACCCTCGAAAAATGGCACTTCGTACCCTCGATATAAGCTTTCGAGGGCTTATCAATATCGAGCCCTCGTACTTCACATAGGTGGCGAGCCCTCGAGAAAAATTTCGAGCCATCGAACAGAGATGTTTGGGGCTTCCGAGTTCGGGAGTCCTCGTCGCACCTTGGTACAAACGAGAGTTCGGAAGTCCTGAACATCTCTGTTCGGTGGCTCGCCACCTATCTGAAGTACGAGGGCTCGAAATTGATAAGCCCTCGAAAGCTTATATCGAGGGTACGAAGTACCATTTTTCGAGGGTTCGAGCCCTCGGCGAGGGCACATCGAAAGCAAATTTTCGAGCACTCGAAGTACCCCTCGGACAAGTGGTTAGGAAAGTAAACGAGAATCTTGTATAATTGAAGAAATACTTGTTCTAGGTTGAAAAATATCTGAGTAATTATGTCTAAGTTTTATTTCAAGTCCGAATTCCGTCTTAGTACCTAAAGGAAACTTGATACTTTATTAGTTGGTTTGGGCAGATGCTCTGTCATTAAACATAAGTTGGTTGCTGACTTTTCAGTCTCATCTTTATTATTTAAGTAGGAGCAATATGTTACTTTGCTTAAACATCGTTAAGATAGCATTAACATGACTACATACGGCTATATTAAACTTTCCTTTTTTGAAATTTTCATTGTACGTGTTGCACGTTTAATTCTTATTTCATTGATGGTAGAGGAAATTTTCTGTTCCCTTTTGAACTATCAACCTCCTTAAACTTATAGGACAATGAGGCAATAATTAACTAGCATATCAATGGCGCTTTACGAAGCGTGACAGTCGACTAAGGAAGTACTGAAAATACATATTTGTAATTTTTATGCCCACACTTATGAATTGATGTGGTTTATTTCTATATCAGGGTTATCTACCCAAACGTCTAGCGGAAAAAATTCTGTATTACACAGTCAATATGAAGATCTCGGCTGATGTGTGAAGTTGAAGGAAGAAAAGAATTCTAAGCGTTGTCATAAGAACTATATTATACATATACACCATATATCAGAGATGGGCAACTCCGGCTAAGTTCGACTCCAGCTCAACTCCGACTTCATTTAAAGAAATTGAACTCCAACTCCACGGATCCCAACTCCAACTCCATTTCAAAAACTCCTGTAGAAACTTATTTTGTCTTGGTTCATTTTCTTCTTTATTTTATTAGCAGTTGTTTATTTCGGTTTTGTTTACAGGTTACACACAAAAACAGTCATTTTAATAATTCAAAATTGCATTTCAACAATGTTAATTATGAAAGTGTACTTTTTGCCATTCTACACCGATGAGATCGGAAAAGAAAACCACTCTGTGAGACAACTCTCCACCGCTGTAACAAAAAAAAAGAAAATTCAGAGTTCAAAATTTTTAACTGATCCAAATGGAATCAACGTCATTACCTTTCCTTGAAGACGACGACGTAGTGTCTTCTTCCTCAATTCCTGCTATGAAATATAGTAGTGATATAATAACTGAGAATTTGAAGAAAAAACCGTTTGAATTTAAAATAGTTGGTTTTGACGAAAACTGTTCATGGCCATCAACAGAATGGGTAAAATTTCGCTTCTGTAAACATTTCTGTTGATAATGATAATAAATGGAATTAAAAGTTGATACGTGATACTGTCCATGTTTTCAAAAATGCATTAGATACCCGGGACTTTAATTGCACGCGAGTCGAGCCTTGAGCCATGGCTGTACGAGTCGGATCCAATGCGATCTGATTTTATAATATTATTGTCGCATCGAGCCGAGCTATGAGTCACTATCTCACGAACTGTGGCAAGCGCCAGTCGGTGAAAGGTACGACTCGCTCCCTCTGTTGCCCACCTCTGGTATAACATACTATATGTCGTAGCAAAACTTATGTGGTAAGAATGAATCATCAGCTC